TTAAGGGAGTGAGTTGAATCGCCAAAGGAGGGTAGTTTATTAGAGAAGGTATGTGATAATACGAGGTGTAACCAGTGATGCCAGGGTTACTACTTTTGTTACAGATCGTACGTCGGTTGGGTGATGTGAGGATTCACCCAGGCAACAGCGGAACGGTGCATAGTTTCTGCAAAAGGCACCAGTTTGTTCGGCGGTGAATAAGCAGCGGGATAATGGAAAAATGTTCACTGTCGGGTACTAGTTCTTATCTCAGCTGAGAAGAATACCTTCTGCATGCACACGGAGCATAGCGTGCGGCCCCTGAAGCAATGTAATGGAGAGCATCCATCTGTATTTCTTCGGCATTCGAATGACTTTTACAGCCATATTTAGCCAAAGTGTCGCTGACTATCCTGTTGAGCTATCAACCCGCATCCAAACCGAAGCGAGTGCGTAGTTGATCACACCAAAAGGAATATAGTATCTACTACTAACAGCTGTTCATGAGCTTTATTACAGAGCGTGTAGTTTACCGTGGATCACGAGCAATATAATTGATCTCCAAGCGTCCGCGAGATTACGGATTTGCAACACACAGGCAGTGGGTCTCTTGCACGCCATAATTTATGGATTACGATAATTTCCCGTTGATATCTTCCAATCAGATGAGGCGCAGTCGCAATTATCTTCGCTCCTCTAGAATGGACCAGCATCTGAAGGATATCGGCAAAAAGTGCTAGGATTAATTTCTACAGGCAGTAGGTGGTTTCGAATGAGCAGAGCAGCGTATCGCTCGGTTTAAGTAGGAATGATTTTCGATAATCGCAGAAGACGCAGATGCGTTCACATTCTCCATTCGCAGATGGAGCACGGGGAATCGTTTTGAAAGGGGCTATTGTGCAGGCAATGACAAAAAACCCCAGGGAGTGCGTGCATTAAGTGTTATTCCAACCGTATTACAGGTATTCAAGGGTGATTTTGTAGAAGCAAATTGCCACCGAATTGTGGGCTAGCACGGTAAGACCGACCCGAAGCCTCGGATATGCTTTTGTACTGCCCCCCTATTATCGTGGCTCATGATATTCGAACTAGTCATGACATGCAATAGCTCTTTGTGGATTTCGGCTGATACCGACTACTGTGGGTTTGCTGGATGTGCAGAAAGTGCGTTCTCTACTGCCATTGGGAGCAATACGGTGAGGACAAGGAAGGCTTGAGCTTGGTTACTTTTCCGATTCGGGCACGCGCGGCGCTTCCGTTGATTTTGAGTTGTAGAAAGCGAATGGTCTGAGGAGTGGGAGGAACTATCCGGCAATTGCAGGCGGTGAGAACAGGGTTGCTCTGCTCTAGGAGATTGCAACCCTTCCCAGGCGGCATCTCATTTTTGGGACGTCTAGCGCAGCAAGTCGTCTCATCGCATAGCTCATCGATTCACATTTCCTCATCCCCGATTACGGTTCATTGCGGACGCCCCTTGCATCTGCAGGCAGTGAGTAGAATGTGCAGTAGGACTGCAAGAGATCGCTTCGTACTGCGTGAATGGCTATATCCAAGCATGCGGTTTTCGGTAGTCTTCAAGGTTATACGAACTGCTCGGCAACGCTTTTAAGCATTGTGAATCCGTGTAGCGCGACTGTAGGTAAGCATTGTGGAGAACCCCACACCTCGTATTCCCTGGAAAAGGGTGGACGTATGCACCTATTTTGGAAAGAACGCACCATCTTTTGTTTTTCTGCGTAGATTGTTGGCATTAGGGCGTTTCGCGGATTTGCATGCGCAGTCCCACAATGCCCTTCACACAAGTGGCGGACTTGTATATTCCTCCGCGGTGTTTGTTGTATTCATAGGCCTGCTATTGCGAAAAGCGCTGGTACATTTACAGCACGTGAGGACCGTTTCGCATGGGTAGAGGGGGAGGCTACCGATGGGTGTATCACAATTGGTACCACCATTCCTTTAGTGTCTGGTAGTAGGCAGCTGCTTGGTAATGATTCCGGGTTATTTTGGCGTTTTGTTCCCGCGTGGATATTGAACTCCCAGGCAGTAAGATATCAATTATTGTTCCACGCAACTACAACCGCGCATATTACCACTTGATAGAACGGGCAGTTTTCCTTGGATGCCCTCAGCCCATGTATCCAAGGGTTATTTATTGCACCAACGGGATCAAGAGCATCGCTGTTCTTCTAGATCGTGAGTGGAGGGACAGGCGTCTTTCAGCGGGAGTATTTCTCCTGTTTCGTGGCGGCAAAAAGAAGCTGCAGGAGTGATTTCTACTTCTTGTTCGTAGCACTGCGCGAGTGTTGGTGCTTCTCGCGGTTATGCAGTTCGTGCGTTGTTAGATAATATTTCTGAAGCCCTTTTGAACGCGTTGACAGTCCTGTCCTTGCACCTTCATGTGAATTCAACCCCGTCATTGTATTCGGGACAATTTTTTGAACGCGTTGACAGTCCTGTCCTTGCACCTTCATGTGAATTCAACCCCGTCATTGTGTTCGGGACAATTGCCATTTTAGAGCAAGGTGAGTCTACTAGCTTATCGCCACTCCGCTATAGACCACGATCGGTAGACACGTATGCTGCAGGCGTTGTAGGATGCGCGTTGTTGCCGCAGATGCTCAAGTCCTCAGGTCGGACGCGGAAATGTATGACGACAGGTTGTGAGTTAGCTGCCCAAATTTGTACAAATAGATCATCCGAAGTGGCGCAA